TATATATATATATATATATAACGAACTTTCATTTCGCGAATTTCTCTATTTTGCGATTTTTTTTCGAGAACCAAAAACTTTTTGAAAATTTCTTCCAAATAACGAAGTGAATTTCTATCAAGTGGGAGCTTCCCTTTGAGATCCACTTTCCCTATTTCCCAAAATATTTCAAAACATTTTAAACAACTCATTTTATGGGGGAAATGACCTTGAATTGATTTTCTCAGCCACTTTTAAAGAAAGTAATAAAATCCCTTTCCCTTCTTATTTGCATTCGAACGAAAAACTTTGATCAAAATTAACAAATTTTATCTGTAGCCATTAAAATTAAGAACGCATCTGGTATTGTATGTTTAAATTTACTTATATAATAAACACAGCTATAATTGTATACATAAATTTAGCTTCTATTAGTTAAAAATGTATGTAGCGTGCTAGTGTAACGCTGGATAATGTTCCATGCAGATTTCTTATAGGGTTATGATTTATAAAATAAATAGATACTAATTTGCAAGACAAAGATACATCAATGGCTATCTTAATTATGTCTAGTGTATATGAATTTAAAACCAGTTAAGTGTTTCAAAAGGTGATTTTCTATTTAACGAAGTTTCCATATAATGAGTGCAAGGAATCTCATAATTAATGTCCTTCTTTTAGGTGGGTGGTTGGAACATAAGCGGTGATTTCGATGTGAGTGAGTGGAATTTCCAGAGAACCCTGGAAATACTGCATAACCAGTACAGCAGGGGTGGACTCTTCTCCTGGGGAGTGGGGGAGGATGAGAGGAATTCTTCCAGGAACATTCTTCAGCTTGATCAGGGTGGACTGGGACTGCCAACCAGAGACTATTATCTCAACAAGAGCATGGATGACGAGGTGATTGTTTAAATACATTTCAAATGAATATGGATGGTGTTTTCAATATACATATATGTAAACAACAACAATCTCGAGCTCTTGACCTGCTCTATTTCATGTTAGAAAGTATACAGCTGCTTACTACAGCTTATTCAACGAGGTGATATTTCTAAACAAATAATTTTGCTTTTAATAAATGAAATAAACTATGTAATTTCTGAGCCCAAATCTGATGTATTTCATAAGATATTAATGATATTAAGTAATTCTGGTGAGTTTGAATTGAAAAATTGTTTTAATTCTTTATAGATGTATCGTTAAAAAAGGTCACATGGTTGCTAGATTTAGAAAGAACTCGCTTTTTTGGCTGTCCCGATTTGGCTTATTTTTACTATCACTGCTTATTACAGTTGATTCTTATTGCAATCCGTTTAAAGTTAGCATATTGTTCGAGTAACGAGATTAGTTTCCTTTTGCAAATTATCGTTTAGGTTTAAATTTTCAAGTTGATATATTGTTGACACAAGGTAAGAAGTGTGTCATAACAATACTTTTCTTCAAATGACGATTCTCACATCTTGAAATGACAGGCCTTCAAAGGACGATTCTTATAACAATTCTTCTTTTTAACACAAATAATAAACCAGGTAACAAATATACGTCTACAAGATCACGTTGATGTACGGTACAATGGTCACCGTACAATGTACATTGTACACGGTACATTGATCACGTTGTGAGCCAAATGGCTTCAAAATACACCGGAAACAGTTACCCAGAAGTATAGACGGTAAAGAGCTCGCAGCTTCAACATTTCTTTACTCAAGGAATCCTGGGCATGCGCACATGTTGAGGTGAGGCATTTTTTATTCTTTTCATTTCGAAAAAGGGATAGTGTTAATACATTCAAAATGCGATTACAAACAGCTGTAACTATTTCACGATCAATAATTAATCAATAATTCGTGATCGCAACACTCGAATACGCCATCTGGGGAGAATATGGAACTGGAAACTCAATGTAGTTTCCAGTTCCAGATAGTTTCCCAACTTAAAACAATTGAATCTATATGAAAATCAAGTGAGAAACTAACATATTTCCTTCTTCTATGACTCTCCACACGCTAATGGGGAAAACATGCGAAGTGTTGCCATAGATAAATAGTTTTCTCTGAGCCACCTGTAGCCCATTTCGATCATCAATAGAATGTTGATGGAACTTAAAAATTTATTTGCCTAAGGAAAGCGAAATCCTGCGGATACGCGAGTTCATTAGTGAAAACGGCGTGTCCGGTGTTAAAATTTAACAATTGTCATTCACAGGGCAGAAAAGATTTCGTCAGAATCACGAACCCCCAAATGGGAAAAATATACGCAGATGTCATAAGACGTTTTAAAAAAAGGATGTTTGTGCAAAAGGTGACTGCACGAATGGACTATGTGTGACCAAGGGAAGTCACATAGAGAATCTGTGACGCATGGATACAAAGTTCCTTCTACATTCTGTGTAAATTCTTTTTCATTGAATATTGATAGCCGTTTGTAATCGCTTTATTCATTCTGAATTATCCCCTGTGGTTTCTATTATTTCAACAGCTTTAAAGAGTGTTCTTCTTTTGTTTTCAGGTGCTGATGGCATATTTATCCTATATGACGAAAGTAGGGGTGCTGCTTGGAGGAGAGGAAAATTCTACTCGAGAACAGATGGAAGACGTCATAGAATTTGAGACCAAATTAGCTAACGTAACTTCCCTTTTTCTTTCAAACATTTAAATTTTTCATAGTAATAAACAGACTATTTTTTAATGCAGACTGAATTATAATAAATTTATACATTTCTAAATGAGAAACCGTTTTTTAAGAAATGAAAAAAACACTTAGAAATTAATAGCGGACGTCGTATAAGCCAGTCATCGTTCGGATTCGAAATCAGGTTTACCTCATTGGAAAGCGAAAGCTCTGTCCCCAGAGCAATCGTGACTCGGGCATTTAATTTGTGAATATCAGTTCATTAGAACGAAAGTTAATTAGTGAGATATCTTTTTTTATTTTGAGCACTGTACATCTCAATAACGCGTCGAAATACATTTTGTCTTAATTTGCCGCTTTCTGCCACTGCGGTTTCTCTAGTTTTCCTTCTTCACTTTCAGCTATAGTTTGTCTACGATAAGAACTCCTCCCGCCAAAAAGTCTAAAACCGTCTGGTGTTATGGAAACAAGAATGGCTCTAACACAATAGACCGAAGAAAAAGATTCCCATTTTCTCGCCGATCCGAGCCAAAAACCTGTTCTAAACAGTGACCCCACATCCCTCCCTACTTGAAATAGTTGTATCTCGTTACCATGGTCACAGCCACGGGTCCAGACGAATGGTTAAGACAAACTATACCACAGTTTTCCTAATTTTGTTTTCACTTATATTTTTAATGATCAACTTTGCATTTTTTGTTTCAAACCTCTTTTGTTTTCGTCAGAATGTGCGTCTGTTGTCGAGCGCTCGAAGACACGTCTCATAACCAAATGAGAGTGATCCAATCATTTTTTTGTTGTAGATAACCATACCGAGCGATGAGAGGAGAGACGACGAGGAGCTCTACCACAAGAAGACGGTGAGTGAACTGGGAGAGTTAGCACCGGTCATCGACTGGACGCAGTATTTCAATTCGGCCTTCAGACAGGTGGACAGGGAGATAAAGCCTACGCAGGAACTTGTTCTTTACGCTCCGGAGTTCATCCGAAAGATGTCTGACCTGGTCACGCAATATCTCTCAACTACAGATGGAAAGATGTAAGAAAATTATCCCGTTTCTGTTTGTAGTTTTCATCAGACTATCCAGTGGTTATGGAGTGTCCGGATGCATATATTAATAATGATATTGGGGCCCCCTTTTTACATAGAAACAGCCTGCACATGCCTGGAATGACTTACCACCACTTTTTGATAGGACTTCCATCACATGAAATTAAAAAAGAAAAAGTTATGCACTAAAATGAATGAAGAAATGTGTACTCATTTCGTATAGGGAAATCGTTAAAAAATCACCATACTATTATGGATGCCGATTATGTTCGATTCAATTTAGTAAGAGGTATTAATTGAAATGAAAAAAAAAAAATAAGCTATGCACTACAAAGCAAAATCAATGGAGAAATGTAAACAAAGTTGTTTAGGAAAAGCATAAAAATCGAAATTATTGACTGCAGTGCTTCATTAATTTTGGTAATAGTAATTAATTGAACGCAAATGATGTTCAATTACTTTTGGTAATCGGTACTAATTGAAGGAAAATAAACTATGCACTCTATACTTATATTATTATACTTATTCTTTTTAGTTACAATTGTAAATTATATCTTTCATGAGTTGATCCAGAGTATAAGTTTAAAAGTTGTTTACTTTCCTTTAATAATTACACTGTGACAAATAGTTTATGATAATAAATTTGAATGTGAAATGTACTACAAAAACACGTTTATTAAGGGCTTAATCGACGTTCTTATTTCTCATTCTTACCCTCGCGTCGCTTAATACTTCTTTTGTTTTGTTTTTTTATGAGTTATTAACTGTTATTTTTTTCTAGTAATTGTTAGCTTGTTTTTTATAGTTATAAATTTTTAGTTTTTTTTTTAAACATGCGTGGGCACTTTTTGTGATTCATTGTTAACTTGTTTTTTTGTTAACTGTAACTGCTAACTTGTTTCCCATTGTCAAAATGGGTCTTGGTTCGGATTGGATGGCGTCCACACGATTTTCAATTGTGCTCAAGAGTTAACAGTGCGCATGCGTTGCTATGGTGACCGCTGATGTTTTTCTCTTAATTTTCAATTGCAGGCATTTTTAATGTATTTACATCATAATAATTTAAAAGTATTTCTATATTCTTTTTATTATTAACGTATAATTATTGAATTGACGGTGATTTCAATATAAATACGAAGAAAAAGTATTTTGTGAAACATGTAATCACTACATAGGCAAGGATATGAAAGAGGACAAACATCCATGGAGAGAGTTTATGCAACCCATGATTTGAAATGTTTAACGGAGTCCAATCCAGAAAGAAAAAAGCATTTGACACATGGGTAACCAGTGATCGTAATAAGACGATCACAACTCTTTTTTTTTTGTTTGCTTCTGCGTTTGGTCTCGTGGATTTTATATAGCTGAGGTTATATTATGGAGTTTTGGAAACAACAACAAGAAATCACTTCAAAAAATAAACTCTCCGAAAGAAGAGAAATTTATAAAAATGTAACTAGTACAGAGAGAATAATTTTATCAAAATAAATATTTGTGATAGCATTCAGAAATGCAATTTTACCAGTGTGTAATTATTTGTGACATAACTACCATGACGATTATTAAACATCAATTCAATAGTATATAAGAGATACTAAATCGATTTAATCTTGAGGTACATTTTGATAGATGAAGATACCCTATGAGTTACGTCAGGACGTGATAATAATTCGCTTCCATCAAAAGTACTTCGATTAATGGTCCACATTGAACAGTTGACTAGCTATTTTTGACTGCGTCATCCTCCTCCCCACGCTGTTGCTTCTCAGTCTCATTTACATACAACGGGAACCTTCATCCACTCGACTCTTAATAACAACATAGAAGAGATTACATACACATCCGTAAATTTAATACAGCTCTTATCAGGAGCGCCTAAAACTCGGTGAACTTAATACAGCTCTCACCACAAGTGCTCAAAATCCGATGAACTTAATAAAGCTCTTCCGGTGTTTCGCAAATACGGCAACTAGTGGTTGTTCATTCATTGAATTCTATCCCTGATAAAATTCTGGGGGGAGGAGTATTGTGGAGTAAATACCACTACGATTATTAAGCACCAATTCATTAGTATGTAAGACATGCTAACTATATTCAATCGATTCCAGCCATATTATTTAATCAGTGAATTAATTTTTGTTTTTAAATGGAATATAAATAGAAAAGGGCAGTGGTTTTAATTTCTTACTTTAAGAAAGAGGGCGCTCAGGGAGAACACTGGTTTCCTAATTATTTGTTAAAATCCTAATGAACTGCTGATTGTGATTTCAGAGTGATTGCCAACTATTAGTTGAAATTCTAATCAACTGCTGATTTCAGAGAGATTGCCAACTATGAGTTGAAATCCTAACCAACTGCTGATTGTGATTTCAGAGTGATCGCCAACTACCTGTCCTGGTCTCTAGTGCAGAGCCTCACATCCAGGTTATCAAAGCCATTCCGCGAAGCTTCCAAGATCCTGAGGAAAGCCCTGGTGGGATCGGAGGGCGGTGAGAGCCCCTGGAGGTACTGTGTTTCCGATACCAATGACGTCATTGGATTCGCCCTGGGAGCCATGTTCGTCAGGGAGGTCTTTCACGGAGAGAGTAAAAATAAGGTAAGTAACAGCTGACACAAATATTTTTATGTATCAAAATGAGAGGCGTGGTGGCTCAGGGGATAGAGCGTTGGCCTTCCAATGACCACAGTGCTGGCGTAAAAATATCCTCAGTGGAAGACGGATCATGGGTTAGAGTCCCCTTGCCGTCTGGTTTTCCTCTCCGTGTAACGCAAATGCGAGTTAGTTCCATCAAAAAATCTCCCATGAAGGAAAAACTTACCCCTAATGCTTGATCCAGGAGTTCCCTTGTCTTCTGAATTGGATTCAAAATGACAAGGCTACGGAGTTGAACATTAGAAGTCGTAAACCCAAACATTGAGTGGGCTGTTTAATGATGGTTATGAAATGAAATTAAAATATATCAAAATTAAGGACAATTTAAGGATGCTAATTCTCAAATGAGAGCAATTTGTAACATGGATTCGTAGGTATACAATTGGTAATAGTTTCAGTAGTTGTCGCACTTCAGTGGAAAAAAAAGTAACGTAGAGATTTTTGTTTTACTTGTTACGCAAGTTTTTTATACAAAAGAAGGAGAAAAAATAGCCTAAGTGTGGAAAATCGTTGTACAGTAGTAGAAAAATACGAGGATTCTCTTGTGAAAAACAGTAAAGTGTTATATAGGTGATCGCAACGCTCGAATACGTCATCTGGGGGAGAAGACCGGTTCCATGCCTTTAGCCCTTCCCTAACCTTCTCTTTTCAGTTGTATGGAAATGTACTGAGATATTTTTCCTCTTCTTAATATTTTTCGTATTTAATTGTTAAAAAAAAAATTTCTTTCATTTCCATGACGCCTTCTTTCAGAACTATGTCTAATGTAGTTTTCAGTTCCATATAGTTTCCTAACTTAAAAGATTTGAATCTAGTTGAAAATCAAGACAGAAACTAACGTGCTTCTTTCTCCTATGACTCTCCACACTCTACCGGTGAAAAGTATACGAAGTATTGCCATAGGTAGAGAGCTCTACTCTACGCCCCCCTGTAGTTCATTTCGATTCCTAATAGTGATGGAGAGGAAGTAGAGATATAAGAACATTTTATACAGAATTCAAAATGAATATAGCAATTAAAAACGATTTAATGAAAAATAATGTATCTATAAGGTTAACATAGAATGTAGATGGAACTTCAACATTTCTTTACGTAAGTGAAGTGGAATCCTGCGCATGCGCGAGCGTTTGATAGATGAAGGTTAGCATTGTCAATAAATAACTCTCCCACATGGGTGACCCGGACGTTATCTGAACACGCCTACCTTGACAGAAACTCCCACTTCAATTTGAGCATGGCTACTTAGATGGCCCACATCAAACAGTGTACTTGCTATTTGTGACATTGTCCTCAGCACGCATTGCTACTCAGTCTCGATCACACATAACGTCGGCCTCTATGCACTCGACTAATAATTGCAGTACAAGCGTGACCACGATCGTGAACATAATACAGCACTCAATGTCCGATTATCTTAATACAGCTCTCCCACTTCTGACAAAACAGCAATGAATCCACCAGTGGTATCCGTTCATCAATTTCTATCCCGGCTTAAATTCTGGTGGGGGAGTATAGTGGCGTAACTACCACTTCAATTATTAAATATCAATTCGCTACTATACACGCCAACTTTAGTGAATTGATATTTAATAATTATAGTGGTAGTTTCTTCAATATAGCTTGATTCCTTATAATACTTTTATAAAATTATGTTTTGTTGTTGTCAATCTATAAAAAACCTTTTTGAAAAGTCATCAATTATCTTTAAATGAAACAATTTAGATGAAAACAAATAATGAATTTATTTCCCTCAGGCAGAGATCATGATAAACGAAATAAGAGATGCATTCAAAGAAAATCTTCCTCTCATAAAATGGATGGATCCTGACACTAGGAGGCTAGCCAAAGAAAAAGTATAGTATATCACTCTATAATAACCATCACTCTTCAGTCCTGGTGACTGAAATCAGTAAAAAAACATTTTTTGCTTTTAATATCTCTGTTTGTCCTTAAAAATGCAACAAATATTTTCTGTTAAATAAAAATTATATTTTAAGTTACTCATGGTGCGTAGCGTTTTTAAGAAGTGCTTAAACGTGCTTATTTTCGATTGTCGTTTTTTAAAGGCCCTTAAAGGTGCTCTTTACATTGGGTGTTTTTAAAAAATGCTTCCTTTTTCCTTTTCAAAAAAGAGATTTTTTTCCTCTTTTACCATGTCGATTTTTACTGTGTATTATGCAAAAGCGTGCTTTTCAGATTGTTCTATTCAACGTTTTCACAAGTCATTCAAACAAAATACATTTCGACATTCTGTCTGACTGTAGTGTATGAAAGGCCTTCAATCATTTTACATGTTTGATACAATATTTTCTGCCCCACATGTGCTGAACTGGGTTCGGTAAGATTATCGTACTCTCATGTGCCACTTTGCAAGATATTCTCAATTTCAGGCTTCATTTTTCACCCTCATCTTTTTAGGGTGGAAAAATCAAGAAAAGAGATTATAAACTAGCTATTTTATCATGATCATGTAAAGTCTTTGAAAACTAATTTGCATCTTGTTAATTTATACAATGCTTAAAAAGTTTTTTGTTGAAAGATTTGGCTACGCACATTGTGTAAACATTGTTAACTATCATAATCATTATTATAGAAATAAGACAAAAAATCGGATAATGGTAAAGTGATAAATAAGTAGAGATATGTATAGAAAAAAAATGAGTGGTTTATTCTTCTGTGATTGATGTACAAGGTTAGCTGTTACTTTTATCTTGATTGCTGTAAAAAATAAATTAATAGAATGAAGAAAAAATTACTAGATAATTGATTTAACACTAAACGTACCAACACTTGATGTATATCTATTTCTACAATAGCCGGTTAAATGATGGTACTTTATGTTTCTTGCTTGAGTATATGAAATATGGATGTTAGGAAGGAAATAAGTTTAAAAAACTTTATTATAATTAAGCAAAATTGTATATTGCTAATTCTTTATGTATCACAGACACAAAGAATAAGAATTTTTAATTCATTGCTCCACACATTTTTTACATATACAAGGTGTTTTCATTGTACATTTTCCGAAAACATATTTCTTCTATTATTATTTCTATGATTCTTATAATTATAAGAATATATAAGAATTATAATCATTCTTATAACTAATATTATTTCCTCTAAGAACTTGCGCTGTCTTGATTGTTTCGAGATTTTTCTGGGTAAAAACTAACCCTAGTTAGTTAGACATGAAGTAAAGTCATTAAAATGAAATATAAGCTATTTACCAAAACTTTTAGTTTTTGTCACTTTTTCTTACTCAAAAAAGTCAATCTAAAATGTTAGGTACTTTCTTGAAATTTGAATTCACAGTTATTCTGATTGAACTCACTACGTCTTTGCAGAAGTGTAAACGAACGAATGCTATACGTCGAACACGCATTAGACAGTCATTTCTGATCCGATAACCTTATAAAGAAATAAATTGTTCTCCCGGTCAAATAACCGGTTTTTTTAGAACTAGGTATACGATAAGTATTATTCGAAACAAACAAAATAATAATAATAGAATATTAACTGTATATAATTGTTAGAAAAACAGTAAGATGATAAGCTCATTTTCGACGAAAAAGTTCTTAAGCGATCATTTGATTGACTATGGTAAGTTTAAAAGTTTATATAATAATAAGTTCATACGTAAGTTATAGTAATAAATAAGCCACCATTTTTGAGTCGCGATGGCTCAGGAGATAGAGCGTTCGCCTTTCAATAAGGTGACCCGGGTTCGAATTCCAGAGACAGCGGGTCGAAGAGAATTCTGCCTCTGGCTTTCACCGACCACAGTGCTGACATGAAATATCCTCAGTAGTAGACGGTTCATGGGTTAGAGTTCCTCAGCCATCGGGCTAACCTTGGAAGGCTTTCGTGGTTTTCATCTCCATATAACGCAAATGCGGGTTAGTTCCGTTAAAACGTCCTCCACACTAGCAAATTTCTCCCACTACTTCATCCAGGAGTTTCCTTGTCTTCAAAATCACCAGGCTATGGAGATGAACATCGGTAATCTTTAAATGGATCGGTTGTTGTTTAATGACGGTTATAAAATTAAATAGCAAGAATTATATTATTTAATGTATATATATAAACTTGCATCTATAGACTTATATTCTCAATTCTTGAGATTTCTTAAGAATAATTTCTTTCTTTTAAATATCCAAATAACTATTTTCTATTTAATAGAGTTTTTTAGCTTATGAATAATTCTTTGATTATTCCTTCTATGCAAGCCTCTAAAAATCATTTAATGTTTATTAAAATCTACATTGAATTACTTCTTTCAATAGGCAGATGCTATAACGGATATGATTGGCTTTCCAGAATTCATTTTAAACTCAAAGAAACTGGACAAAAAGTATGAAGGGGTAAGTTTCAACCATATTTTGTTATTCATTGTATAGTTTGTCTCATGTAAGAACTCCCCTAGCCATTCATCTGGTGTCATGGTGGTGACTACGGTAATGAGATATAACTATTTCAAGTAGGGGTGTGAGATCGCTGTTTAGGACAGGTTTTAGGGGCGTCGGCTAGAGAAAGGGAATCTTTTTCTTCTGTCTATTGTGCTAGCCCTAGAGTGAAAAGAAGTTACCCTCCTTGAAATGTGCTATTCTTGTTTCCATGGCAGCAGACGGCCTCAGACTTTGTGGTGGGGGGAGTTTTTACCGTAGACAAACTATAGTTAGTAATTTTACTGATAATTGAATTTTAGTTGTAACTCTCCTCTCTCTATTTTACATGAAGTTCTAGTCATTTCTCATTTTAATTGGGTCTCTTTTTAGAACAGTTTAGCGAAATTCAGTTAGTACAGTTGAACCTCATTCACGGAAATTAGCTTCACTTGAAATATTGCTTTACATGAATTGCATGTTGGGTCCCGTGAGTCGGCAATTAATTATTGTTGTATTTTACATGTTTAACGCGAAATCTTAAAGGTTATTATCGCTTAACACGAAAGGAAACTGGATTCAGCACAGATGAGAAGAATGGGAATAAAATCTCAATCATTCATTTTTTGAGGAATGCTATGTCTATTTTCTTCCTTCGTTAGAAATAGAAGATGGGCAAAGAAATAAAATAGTTTAATAAAATAGTTAAAACTTTTAAGATTATTTTAATTTGTTAGGTTCATAATAGTATTCTTTGCATACATTGATATAGTACAGTCGGCAATAAACAGCTATCACCCTGAATAACTTTTGTTCTAAGGAATGAATTTTCACGTACTAAGTGTCAATCTTAATAGTTCTGATGATTTCGAATATGCAGATTATTTAGTGCTAACTATTTATTAAGTTATGAAATTGAACACAAAAACGTACTTTCTCTGAATAAACATATATTTGTTTTTACATATTTGGATTCTTAACTTTCAAAATATAAGGGGATTGCAAAATATCTAAGAAAAACGGACCCCTTAATGTTAATTTCCTTTTTTGCGTTTTTAGTCATAATTTTAAAACTAATTAAGCAATTCAAAAAAAATTGCGCCCACTTATAAAACCCATTTACCCAAAGATAATTTCATGCAAAAAATAATTTTTAATAATAGTTTATTATTTTTTATTATTTCTTTTCTTTATGTATGAAAACATTTTGAGTTAAAAGGTGTACATTTTTTAATACCATATTAATCTACGTATTTTTCTATTGCGAAATCTAAAGTTTCGGCAGTTTTTATTTGGTAGAAGCCGAGAAAATTTTTAAAAAAATTTGGTGACGATAAAGAAATATTTAAATTTGGAGATTAATATTCAAATGTGGTTAACTTACAGGGAATTGACTTCCGCTCGCGTAGAGTAAAATTTCATTCATATATTTTTTGGCTAATAAAAGATAGAGATTTTTCTTTTAATTATAAAATACGATGTTTCTTTTTTAGTCGTCTAAAAATTTATCTTCGTAATGTAATAAAAAGATTCGAATAAAAGATTTTATTGAATACAAACATTTTAATCAGCAAATGTTGCATTTTATAAAAGAATGTTTCTGATAGAATAGGATTACACATCGGTTTTTTTTTAATTTTATTTTTTAATTTGTTCTTTCAATAATAGAAACAATTTTCAATAATATACAAACGTATGCATAGATTTAGAATAATATGTTTATCAATTTTTTTAATGTATATTTTGTAATTATGAATATGAGTACGTAGTCAATATTTTTAAGCATCTTAAAATTTCTCAACATCCTATATATCGTCTTACTTTTAGAATAAATTTATTAATTACCTAACCTCGCGTGTTTTGAATAAATTATTTTACCAACTATTCAAGTAAATTTTAACATTTCTCAAAGTCTTATTCTTTACGCTAACACGCATATTATTTTTCCTTAAATAAACTAATAAATTGTTTTCGTGCTTTAATTTATGTTTTCCTTTAAAGTAATCAAAGTTTTTTCTGAAAGAAAACTTATATTGAAAGAAAGGTTTTATTGAAAAAGATTTTATTGAAAGAAAGTTATTGCCAGCTAACTAAGAATTAAATCTTGTTAAGAAACTTAAAATATTCTTCTAATCAAAAGTATTCGATGCAGAACGGCTAACTATTTACTAAGCATACTATTTTTTCGAAAAATGAAGATAAATTATAGATTGTCTTTTTTTATTGTTTCCTACTTATTTGAGTAATGAAAAGTAAATGCGTATGTGTGCACAGTAAGAAAATACCACAGTGTGCTTTGTTTCTTAAATAAACAAAAAATTATGGACATGCAATTTTATTTTGACGTTCAAAGTTATTCTTGCCCGCTAACTTATTGGATGCACTGTGTGAAAATATTCATGGTTTGAATGTCAAGTGTGCTGATTAATTAAGGCTAACTTCAGATATAAGACATGAATAATTACATACTGAACATAACTTCTTTTTTTTATAAATATAGAAAGAATGGAAATCAAGGAAATTGTGTAAGCTATTATAAAAAATCTTATGAAAAGATCTAAGGAAAAGATAATTTTTGATATTCTTTTTTAGTTTTATTGAATGGTTATCAAAAAAAATTATTTAAAGCAGTGATGGCTCAGGGGATAGAGCGTTTGCCTTCCAATGAGAAGAATCGGATTCGAATCGCAGCGATGGCTGGTCAACACGAATCCCACATCCGGCTTGCACAGTGTTGACTTAAAATATCCTCGGTTATAAAGTAAAATAAAAAATCTCTTTTGTTCTGCATTATAAATTTTCTTACAGTGTGTTAACACTAAGCTTTCATTTTATTTAAATTTAAAAGAAAATGATTATCCACAAGATGGCAGTAGTAATTATGTGCATACAGAGATGATTGTGTAACAGAGAGAGTGAAAATGCTCGCCAAGTGAGCCTGATGTGTAGAACGATGTAACAACTTAATGTCTGTAAATATAGTTCTCGTAAATAAATTATAAATATGTTATAATCATCAAACTCTTACTTTCTCCTCCCCCCAACCGAGCTACTCAACACCCGACACAATGGTATAGATAAAAATTGTTTGAAACTATGTCATTTTAAATGACAAAATTTTGATATTAAATGGCGAAATCGAAAGAAGAACGGTCTTTAAAAGAAAAGTGGTATTTTTAAGTGAATATTTGTTTCGCAGTTCAGTATCTATAAGAGAATAACAGAAGTGATTGTTGTTGTTTTTGCAGCTAGAATTCAGTTCAGATGAATATTTTCAAAATAACATTGTGGTGGAGCAGTTCTCCCTGAAAGTGAACATGAAGAAGTTGGACAAGCCCACCAACAGAAGCGAATGGAAGATGACACCACCCACTGTCAACGCATACTACACACCCACCAAGAATCAGATAGGTAAAAAAACCTTCATGTCATTTGTGTCATAGGAGAACTTGTTGTGAAACTAAAACTAATTTAAGAATATTCACTGCATAAGAAAACCTTACTGCAACCTTGCGTCTTTTATTGTCAAGAAAATATTTGTACTGAAATAAAACAAGTTTCGAAATAAAGCAAAAATAGTGCAGTTTCAAAGCTTTCGTCCTAAAAGAATTAAAAATTATTTTTTTAAAGCTTTTTTAAAAAAGATTGTCACTTTTAGGTGAAATGATCACTTAGGTCCATAACGACGTTTTAGCAATTGGGTCAAATTGTATTGTCCATTAAAATTTCGTGACAAGGTGGATGTTAGCTGAGCACACAAGACTTTGCGAAAAGAAACCTTATAATGACCTACATTTAAGATTATTTTCACCTTGAGACTAGCTTTAATAAAGGTTTTTTTTTCACGCTTGAAAACCCTAAGTCAACCTCGACTTAAGGTTTTTATACAGAAGGTTGTTTTCCAAGGTTTTGGAGGAAGGTAATGTGCGTAGAACAGAGCAGATGGTCACAGATCTCGTTTTAAGGTGAGAAGGTTTACACGTAAACAGCATATCAAACCTTTTTAGGTTTACATTAAAAGGTTTTGGTGGAGTGAAAATAAACTTCATGTTGCTATCTGATATAATATAGACTGACTCGTTCACACCTCGCACGGATACATTGAAAGAAATTCTTCACCTTTGTAGATACTTTCTTAATATTTTTTTCAACATTAAAATAACAAAAACGTCTACAGGGAAAAAATATAATAAGAAGATGACCGCAACATAGCCTCAATTTTTTTAAGAAGGTTGTTTAATTGCATGCTACCGAAGAGAAAAGATAAAACTGCTCATTTGACTCAAAAATGAGTGATCCCATGGTTAGAGAACAACTGGACATGACTGTCGCGTTACTTACTTATCCTCTACTTGCCTTTGGGCACTTATGGCCTCTAGCATATCCCTCCAACGCCTCCTGATCTTGCTTCCTCCCAGCCAGATATTCCACATTCCTTTAATTCGCCCAAAAACATGCGCTGGATGGTAAGTCTGGGTCTTCCTCTTGTTCTCTTGCCATCAGGGGCCCATGTAAGAGAAACAGATGTAATTTTTTCTTTGGGCATTCTAAGGATATGTCCGAGCCAGCTCCATCTTTAATTTCATCTTCTATTGTTTTTATTTTAGTTTAGTTGTTTTTATTTTACACTGTCGCATTGCTAGGGAAATAAACGATGTCGGTGACAGTTGGAAATCTTTTAATGTCATTTCATTTGTTCATAAAAATGAAAGGTAGTCGTCCAAGTTTAACATTAAAAGTTAAATACGGATTTCGCTTTGAAGAATGACAGGAGTATTAATATTGTTAATATTACTTCACTTCTTATATGATAATAATGACTTCCAACACACATCACAATACAATAACTGGACCCGTTATGATGTTTAATGTTAATGTGAATGCAGTTCTTTCATTTCATTTTCTCTTATAACTATTTATATTACGATCCCTGGCAGCACTCTATGATTCTATGTAAAATCTTAATTATCAGGTGATACTCTATACAGCTTTATTGTTTTATACGCGACTGTTTGCACTTGTTTACGTTCGTGTATCAATGGGTTAAATGAGACGATAGATAATATAAATTCGACAGTTGGATAAATTAAAGGATACATTATATAAATATAGAATATTTATCATATCAGGTATTATATTAGTATATTATAATAACATAACATTAATGCATTATAATATATATAATTGACGCCCGGTGGCTGAGCGGTAGTGCTTCGCGCTGTCGTGCCACAGGTCCCAGATTCGATTCTCGGACCGGGCAAGGCTGACTCAGCCTTTCATCCCTTCAGTGGGTCGATAAATGAGTACCAAGCGTGCTTGGGAGCTAAACACTGGGGGTTCCGCGTTCGGCTGACCACCTGACCGGAACATCTGCTCCTGCACCCAAGGTCAAGAAAACTGAGATGGGCACAGTAATCCTTGGCCCGCAAGTGCTGTTACGCCGCTGAGTTTAGTCTATTATAATAATTAGACCCAATTATTAGATGCACTGTAGTGTTTTAATAATTGCATGTTTTGCACAAGTATATATGCAATACTCTTATATTTAAACATACATGTAATGAGTTTTTATTTGCTTCCCATTTGTATTTATTTTTAAAGTATTGCATTGCAATGTTAACCAATGGATACAGGAGAGTAGACATATGCAGATCGGTTACAGTCTACATAAAACCACTAAAACAGTATAGATATCATCACCTGATGATTAAGAGTTTACATAGAATCTTAGAGTAATAATATGGTACTTAATTTATCTTCAACATAAAATCCCATTTAATTGTTTTCCTCTCTTAAAGTGTTTCCTGCCGGAATACTTCAGGCTCCGTTCTATGATCCTCATTATCCTAAGTAAGTTTTCACACCTTCTCTATACTTTACACACTCAATCACTTGCTTTTACCTAGTCTTTTGCCCCGACAAAGATTTCTCTTTTGAATTGTATAGTTTATTTTCTGCAGATATTTACTCTTAAAATTAGAATCATGCTCACTTTACGCCGATAGTAACGATGTAATGTTTCGATTGTATTTTCGGCAGTTATTGTTTTTCATGTGGTTTTTAAATATCCCGATATATTTCAAACAATTCGGAAAATTCGAATCGTGCATTTAAGTACAGTAGAGTCCCGATAATCCGAGCCCCGGTTATCCGAGTTTCCGCTTTAACCGAGCTATCAAATATTTTAAGGAATTTTTTTGTTTTAGTTTATTTTTTATTTTATTTAGTTTATTTTTTATTAATAGTTAAATAGTTTTAATAATAAAAGTTAAATATACAGCCGAAAAATAAATCTGAATTTTATCTTCCAAACACTCGGGAAAACAAAATCTAACAACTTGATCCCATGAAATGATCGTTAATATCGTCAATAATGAAAAGGAACCTAGCAAAGATGATGAAGACAGTGACGATAAAAATTAACATATAAAAATCTCTCACACAGATGAACTTAAAGCTGTCGAAAATGCTACTGAATACATAGAACAACAAAAAGAGGAGACAGCAGCCTTCCTGTTATCCCTAAAAAATGGCGACACATTGCTGCAGAAAAGCACCAAAGTTATGTAAAACAAAAAACGATTAAGGATTTTTTGTTAAGTAAAAACTCTTTAATTCTCGCAAAGTGTACTTTTTAAGTTTTTTCAAGTAAGCTTTTTAATAATAATAGGAATTATATGTGGTATACTAGTATAAATTTTATATTTTTTAAATATTTTACATTTATACCAACTCTTTTTCTTTCTTTTTTTATACTCTTCGTTTTAACCGAGTTTTTCAGTTATCCGAGTTAGTCGTGGTCCACATTAACTCGGATAATCGGGACTCTACTGTATTTACTTTTTGAAGCAATGATTCTATCGATTTTGTGACTGTTATTGCTATAGATACCGCCATTGTTTCAATATCCGATATTATTTATGACAACAACCTTATCTCGAAACGAAGCACGCATTTGAGAAGTCCGATTTGCGTGATTTCGTAGTCCAGTGTTTCCCAAAGTGTGGTACGCGTACCCCCAGGGGAACGGGAACAGTTTAGCGGGGGTACGCGTTCTTATGCGAAATAAGTATCTTGCAACAAACGAAAATTTCAAAAAATTTTATTTAAAAACAAAGTTAGCCCTGAAAATTTACAATGACGTATTTTTCTATTGGCTATTTTTTGCAGAGTTACAGTTAATAATGAATGGAGTCAAAAGCCAGTTGTGATTTTTAACTTTTGTGTAATTTTTTTGTAGTAAAAAATATATTCATTTTTTTATGAGTGGTGCACAGCTTTACGAAAAATTTAGAAAGGATACGCAAAAGTCATAAGTTTCGGAAACACTGTCGTTGTCGATTCGGCAACGGATTTCATGATTTTAATTTTTTATTGTGATGATTATTTACAAAATGAGAAGATGGAAATAATGAGTACGTCCCCCCTCCCTACAAAATGCTTGAATACCACCCATACTATTAAAATAAAAAATTATGACATGTTCAATTAAAAAAAAAAAATTTTTAAACTCAGCGGTTTTGTTATTTTAAGTGGGTAACATAAACGTTCGCTATCATTGAAAGTATCTTGTAGAAAGATATTACTGCCAGAGAGTTTTGTCGCAGATAGCTCGGGAAAATTCTGCTACGGGGGTATTTTGGCGAATTTCATTAACACTTCTTTCATTTGGTACAAATTTTCTAAATGTACAGCTTAACCCATTTGGTAACTATAAAATATTTTTGTGTATTGTGCTGCCATCTATTGCACAACGCACACAAAAGTTGCAATTCCAGAAACTTATTTTATAACCGTCCCGTCGTTGAACAGCCAACCCAATTTTTGGGTTTACCACAACACATGTTAAACTATGTACCCTTGTCATTTTGAACCCAATCCATCAGAAGACGAGGGAACTCCTGGATCAAGTGTCGGGTGAAATTAGCCCACGTGGAGGACTTTTTGATGGAACTAACCCTCATTTGCTTTACATGGAGAGGGAAACCACGAAAACCTCCCACGATTAGCCTGAAGGCAAGGGGACTGTAACCCATGATCCGTCTACGACAGAGGATATTTCACGTCAGCACTGTGGTGGGTGCAAGCCGGGTGCGGAGATCGAATCGACCAGCTATCACTGGGATTGAACCCGAGTCACCGCATTGAGATTCGAGCAATCTATCCCCTGAGCCACAACGGTTCAAATTACCTATCTGGAAATAATACTATGGATGGTAGCGTTTGACGTAAAAAAAATGTCACTTTTTGAAAAATTGTGGCTTATTAGTATATCACTATAAGCTCTTACTTTTTTTTTTTAGCATTTCCGTGACACTCATTCTAAAAATTAAAAGAAATAAATAAAAAGAAGTATACTTAAAAAAAAAGTTTAAATCTCTGTGATACATATACCGAGATTGATAAGAAGTGCTGCTATGTTTTCTTACTTTTTAAATTTTTCATTAACATAGTACAGTGGTCGGCAAACTTATTAGCCAGTGAGCCAAATATGAACATTACAACAATTTTAAAAAAATTGGGGAGCCAAATCTGCTTGTTTAGTAAACTTTTGTTACACTAAATAAGTAATACACTAAATAAAACTATTTCATACTTAATAAATATGTATTAATGCGAACAATGTGCTTGCATCTCCTTGGAAAGTTTGAGTAAGTCAGGTTTGTATATTGTTGTTTTTAATTTTAGGCATGATTCCAAGTTCTCATCAATAAGACGACTTCTCAGTTTACTCTTGATAATGTTCATGCTTGAAAAAGATTGTTCGCATATATATGTAGAACCGAAAAGGGAAAGAACAGCAAACGCGAGCTTTTTCAGCTGATCGTAAGAGTCAGGAATACTATTCCAAGCGTTGAAAATGTCTTCTTTCTCCAGGTCACAATATAAAACTTTAATTACCTATCTATCTTTTAACTTAAACAAAAATTTTACATGGTCTCGATTTATAGAAGAATTTTAATTTATCAAAATTAAATGTAATTTTTTTCTTAGCAAGTTTTTTTAAAATAAAAATATATTATTGCGCTTTCCGTGGATATTTGTGCCAGAGCCGCACTTAAGGAGCCAAAGAGCCACATGCGGCTCTAGAGCCGCACTTTGTCGACCACTGACATAGTAGGACTGGGCGATGTCTCAATTACTCTAACACCACGATATTTCGATACGTAGCGATGTTTCAATCACTCCTATTTATTCAAAGATTTATTACTTAGATTTCTCCTATTTTTTATCGGATGACATTTTTATGTACACACAGTAGCACTGGGCGATTTTAAAAAATGTCGACATTTGGTATTGTGTCATTTCGAATTCTCACACTTTTTGATTGATAAATTGAAGCAGTTATATACTTGTAATAAACTATACGTGGAAAATAAAAGGAATTATGCATTGAAAATAAATATAAAAACTTGAATAACATATGCAGGAAGGGGGGGGGCAGACAAAATGAGTCTATTGCTGTCTATCTCAATAAAAAAGTAATTATGAATATTAAAATCTTCACAAATAGAAAAATAAAAAATTCTCTGAGAGATAGAAAGAACACTAAAATGCATGTAACTTCCCAGTCAAGGATTCCCAGTCCCCAATCTTAAATTTAGTTCATTACTATCAATAATAAATAAAGAATCTTCATGTGTGCTAGTGGTTATCCATTTCAAGGTCAGGAAAACAGCTCGCAGCGCGCTTTTGAAACCATCGTTGTATTATCGCACATGTAGAGAACGATGTCATCGATACATCGTGAAACATATCTCGGCAAACAGTTATTTTTGATGCTTCAAAAAATGACTGTGGCGGCTCAGGGGTTAGAACATTTACCTTCCAATGAGGTGCACCAGGTTCGAATTCTAGCGATGGCTGGTCGATGCGAATTCCGCAACCGACCACAGTGAAGAAGTAAAATATCCTCAATAGTAAACGGATCACGGGTTAGAGTCCACTTCCCATCGGGCTAACCGTGCGAGGTTCTCGTGCTCTTCCTCTTCATATAACGCAAATGCGGGTTAGTTCTTTCAAAAAGTCCTCGAAAAAGGCAAATTTCACCCAAAACATCATCCAGGAGTTCCCTTGTCTTCTGGATTGGGTTCAAAATGACAAGTCTACGTAGTTTAATATTAGTAGTCGTAAACCCAAACATTGGATCGGCTGTTCAACGACAGTTATAAAATCCAAACATCGGGAGGCCAGGATAGCCTGGTTGGTAGGGCGATGGACTCTTGCTTATGAGAAATCGAATTCCAGCCACCTGAAGAATCCCCCTGAATTAAATGGTGCACGTCAAATCGGTCGAGGTCACAAATTCCTCCAAGACTCCATGACAAATCGATACCTCTGGGAGTACTGATCCAAGAGTTTCCCTGTCTTCTGTATTGGGTTCAAAATGAAAAGACTATGGAGTTGAACAAGAGGAGTCGTAAGCCCGAAATCGTGCCGGCTGTTCAACGACGGTTATAAAATAGAATTCAAAAACCGAGGATTATATAACATCGATATTTTTCGATGCATTCATGTATCGCCTACTCGAAATGAAAAGTTTACATTTTACTCAATTTTAATCCTTTTTATCTTAAGAAATTAAGTTGAAAAGAAAAATTATTTTTAAAAATTTTAATATCGAATCCGGAATTTACTTTATTATAAGTCTTTTTTTTTTCTTCAAGCTATTATGATTCACACTTTTAAAACTTATAGACGGATTACAAAATATTGCTTAGTATTTATTTCAATTAATATTCATTCATTTGTTCTTCTTAATATTTATTCACAGATCTCTGAACTTTGGTGCCATGGGCGTAGTCATGGGCCATGAACTAACTCATGCTTTTGATGACCAAGGTAATTTTAAATTCCTTTTTTTTTAATTGTATGAATAGCTCAACAATTTACATTTTAGAAAAGAAATTTAAAAGAAATTTTAAAACAAAAAAATACCTACGGGTTTTTATTTTAAAACATTTAAAAGCTTCCTTTGGAAAAAAAAATATGGCCCGTGTTTTAAAAAAAAAATTATCATCCATTGGGTACTTGCAATCTAAGAAAAGGAAGACCACCGTGACTCACGCGCGTGGCCTATGACGTAAGCACCAGCTAATCTTTGTCAGCGAAATGGCAGATTAAAGTTGAGCTAAGTTTCTCTGCATAAGTTGTAAATGTTAATTAACAAAAAAATATTTAAATACAGAGGCATATCGCACATCGAATTCGTTGAAATATAAATTTTTCACGTCTTCTTCTTTTACTTAACTTAGATTTATTATTTGTTTATGTATTTTATTGTAACAGTGTTATGTTTTTGTTTTGTGTACCTGTCAAATTCGATGCATAATTTGTTTGTTTATGTTCCACGTGTTTTCATGCCTGTCTTTGTGTTAAATCTCTGCTCAAATATAGAGTGAAAGAATTGATATCTTTGTGACAGAATCTTTGTAAAAGAATATAGAATGTGTCACTTAAGAGAATTGGTTTACTCGAAGTAGAATGGAAAGAACAGTTGCTAACGTAAACAACCCATCAGTACAGAGGTACCCACACATGGATATGGGTCCTATAGTTCCGATTAATATTATATTTCTTTGATCAAAACATTGCAAAACTTTTATCACAAATCTAGACGCCGCACTATAATAATTTACGGCATTGTATCTCCGAAATATGTGAAACGAGGTGATTTATAATTGTCGGTGGATCACTCATTTCAACGAATGGATAATCAGAATAATGAATTAAACGAAAAATTTACGAAAGAAAAGTACCACTGAATCTTGCACATTTTTATTAATAAATCATTGAATGTCTTGTGAATAATTTTAAATTAACTTATTGAGGCCATAATAATTTTGCAGAAAAGCCTACGAAGCATTCTTGTTTGTTATTATGAAAGACGTCTGATTTATTTATCAATCATTTACTTTACATATTGTTTTTTTAATTTTATTTCCGTTGTTGAACAGCTGACCCAATTTTGGGTTTATGACTACTCTAACTCCATAGACTTGTCATTTTGAACCCAATCTAGAAGACAAGGGAACTGCTGGGTCAAGTATTGGGAGAAATTGGCCTTCGTGGCGGACTTTTGGATGGAACTAACCCGCATTTGCGTTACATGAAAAGGAAAACCATGAAAACCTCTCACGGTTAGCCTGACGGCAAAGGGACTCGAACCCATGATCCGTTTAACACTGAGGATATTTCATGTCAGCACTGAGGCCGGTGCAAGCCGGATGCGGAATTCTTATCAACCAGTCATCGCTGGGATTAGAACCCGGTTCACCACATTCGAAGGCGAGAGCTCTATTCTCTGAGCCATCGCTGCTCGCTGTCAGATTATTGAGTTAATTCATATGGAGCAAAATCAATGGTCACACAAGGCGATTAAGTACAACAAATGACGATTGTCAGGAATGAAGCTGGGTAGGGCCCACTCCAAAATGTTTCAAAATCGAAAAGTATGCTGTTGTTTATGTAACATAAAAAGCTTCAACTAATCTTTTTACGTTATTCCTTTATCTAACTCTCCTACTTAATTTTTTATTCTAAACGAAACGCTCTTTCTCACACTTTAATACTCACAACCTGTCTTTTAATCTATTTTTAGTTCAAGTATGCAATCATTAACATTTTAGCGTTTATCCCTCCAACTAACCGTGAGAAAGATTTTTTTTCCTGCAGTCAATTTAATAAACCAATTATAATTATTAAGATTTCCGTTTTTACCCTAAAATGAAGCATTTTTAGGGATTTAATTTGTAAGATTTTCCCTGACTTTTATTGAGGAGCATAACGATAGTGTGTCACTTAAATGCTAACTCTTCATGAATATGTCTCGTTAAATAATAATTACGTATAGCCTGCTGCTTGAAACCTGTGTATTTCCGCATCGTTTTCATATATATATTTGGACCCCCTCTCAAATAAGGCTCCTATACTGTACTATACAATTCAGGGGCTCTACTCTCAAATATTGTTACCTAGCTACGTGGCTGCCAGTCGCCACCTAATTGCCACTTTTTTCATTGAATAAAATCGATGCTTACAGATGTACTATCGATGTCACTGAATCCAATGAGCGTTTCAATAATTTCGGAATTATGAATATTTCTGAAAACTTCTTTATTTAATGTGTGTTATATTAAAATTTTTCTTCTCCATAGAAATGAACCTGTAACCGTATTTCGATAAATGCTTCAAAATAAATTATTTACTTTATTAATATATTTTAATGATTTTATTGTTGGTTTTTCAAAATAAAGGTTACATATTTAAAAAGGGACTTTTTAAATGCTACAGCTGGTCACAGGATAGTAGCAAAATTACCAAATTTTTGTCTAAATCTATCATTTTTAGATCAATTCATAATTTATGCAAGAAATTTACAAAATAAGTACGTTTAAAATCAGACAGATTTTTACCCTTCTTTTTTTGACATCAGGAAGGAAGGCAGGCTCTGAATTTCAGGAGAGATTTCCGTATCATGATCTGTGGCAGAATAATCACCAACTCTTGGAAACTTCCGGGCAGCGGCCGCGAGAAACTAAAATGAAACATCACAGATTGGGACCCACTCGTAGCCACCCCCGGGCAAGCATCTACATGTGGGGGGATAGTAGTTATCGGCAAAGTCAACCTTCATCTATGAAAAGGTGACCCCGTCATAGAATCAAGTTAACACTGTGAGTTATATATTAAGGAATTGGAATTGTATTTTTGTAGCGGTAGATGCACTATAGTACTCCACCCCCAGAATTATATCTGGGATAGAATTCGATAAATGGATACCACTACTTGATTCAATGCTGTTTTGTGAGAAGCGGAGAGAACTGTATTAAGATCACCGTACTTTTATATGCTGATTGTGAAAGCTGTAATAAATTCACGATCGTGGTCTCTCTTGTGTTGCCATTAACAGTCGAGTGTATACAGGCCGATGTTGTGTGTGATCGAGGCTGAGTAGCAACAGCAAGAGAGGTCGATAATGCTTCGGCCACAGGTAGCAAGTCAACTGTTCAATGGGGATCATCGATCGAAGTAGGCGTGTTCACATCACGTCCGGGTCACCAATGTGGGGAGAGTCACATCGACCCTGTCAACCTTCATCTATGAAAAGGTATCCCGACATAGAATCGTGTTAACATGTCTTATATACTGGTGAATTGGAATTGTATTTTAGTAGTGACAGACCCAGAAAGTGTAAAAAAAGTGTGTTGTTTTCAGGTAGAGAGTATGATAAGTATGGAAACTTGCACCAATGGTGGAAGAACACAACGATTGAGAGTTTCAGGGAGAGAGCTCAATGCTTCATTGATCAGTATTCATCTTTCGAAGCAAATGGAGAAAATGTAAGTTTCTATTTTTTTTCTTTGTTGATAAAGAGGAATTCTTGCAATATATATATATA